ATTTATTATAATTTTAAAAAATAATTATATTTAATAAATATCATAATAAATAATTGAGATTTTATTTAAATATAATATATAAAAAATATATAAATAAATTTCATATATGTATATATATGATTACATAAAAATCCACATGAACATCTGTACTCTTTAGTGATTCATCTAAAATTAACTAGTCTTGTGCATGCTACTTTCAGAAAATAGCAGGATATGACGGTGTGAATGGGAAAAGATTTGCGTTTACGACCGCTGCACTACGCTATTTGCCGGTTGTGCAAAAAGTATATTACAAGTATTAAAAATCCTGTATGTGAGCTCAACACAAGGCTTGCATCAATCTAAAACCAATTGGCAATAGTTGGAGTAGCTCTCTTTGTATTTAACCCACAAGCTTCTCATTTTTATACTCGATGTGGGATTTTCCCATTTAACACGTCCTTTCACGTGCAAGCTTACTATGAATGTCGGGTCTTGTCACGTGGGTTAACACGCTCCCTTAAATGCAGGCCTGATATCAACTTTTGGTCCTGTCAGGTGGGTTAACAACGGGCTTCCCATGGTAGGACTTGGGCTCTGATACCATATTGAAAATACTGTATGTGGGCTCAACACAAGGCTTGCATCCAACCTAAAACCAATTGGCAATAGGTGGAGTAGCTCTTCTTGTATTTAACCCACAAGCTTCTCATTTTTATACTTGATATGGGATTTTTCCATTTAACACGCCCCTGTCGGGTCTTGTCACGTGGGTTAACAACAAGGACCAATCGCTGCTGAACTTGCTTGATAAACTGGAGACCACCCACTATAGCAAACTTAAAGAGAAATTGGCAAACTTAGCTCGAGAGCTGAGGGCTACTGGTATAATGATCAACTATTCAATATTGCAATACCACAGCATAATCAAAGCTATAATGGAGTATCCTGAAAAATATGGTTAGCTATGCTCGCACCCTAGTTAATTTAATGTTTTAATTAGTTGACATATATATATATAATTAGGATCCATTTATAAATAAGTTTTATATACTATAATTACACAAAATCTTAATCATTCATTTTCTTATTTTAATGGCTAATATTTATTTATTTTTTATTATATTTATTAAAAATAATTATTTTTTAT